GTACTTTTTGCTTGTATGGGTCTATCGTTATCACTGTTGACGCTATCAGTGAACATTCAGTGAGCTGTTTTCTTGGCTTATCTGTTGATCCAATATTGTCGCTCACTCCCAGCCAATCAGAGACAAGGTTCTATAGCAGGTGGGCACCCTGTGTTGACTGTTTGTTTAACTTCCTGTGGGCGAAACTTTGATTTTTAAACTGTTGATTTTCAACCCTCGATGAACTGCCATGCCGCTGACTCAGTCTTGGTTGACTTGTAATGCTGTTGGTGCCGTCATTGTTGCACCTATCGATGTGGTGTATTGACTGCTCGTCTGCCGCTTATGTAAACAACTCCTGCTACGACAGCGGTGTCGAACCTCACGACCACGGGAGCGGCACTGTTACACCTATCGCGGTTCGCCGGTGGCCGTCACGGTTCGTTGAACACCGTCGCCTGGTGACCTCTCCCCCCTTGAACTTTCCCCACCGGTCGGTATTCGGTCGTCTGTGTCTGAACGGCTCCCTCATACGACAGCGTGCTAGACATGGCCTGCACAGCATACACCAACATAGACTAGCGGTATCTGCTACATAGACCAGTCGTACCTGTTCCTGATCACCGACCTAATTGATACGGCTGTGCTATCTATCTGACCCGTGTTGCCGTGTGTTGTGGTCAGGATGACGGAGAAGGCGGGACCAGCGGCTGGGACGTAAGTAGAGTTGTTTCAATTAGCCAATCTATCGATCCAGATCTCGTCTCGTGGTTAACGTTAGCGATGTTACCGCTGGCAGGTTAATGGCTGGGTTATAGACAACCCACACACAATCTGGTGCGGGCAGGTGTGTGTGGGGGATGTGTAGTCACTATCTACACACATGCTCAGTTAAATATTTAGACGTTACTGGGTTCATTTCGATTAGAAGTACCCATATATCTATTTTGAGGAGTACTGAGTTACGATAACGATTTGTTCTGTTAAATTAAGCGTACGGCTTAGTCAACAGGGTTAGGTTTGCAGCTAAATTTAATGTATCTGTGATTCGATTTATTCGGACTCGTAGACCTGACTAGTGACAAAAAGCCGTGGTTGTCTCTCTGAAGACTGCCCCACCCCGCATCTACAGCTCCCCATCTTGTCCCACACAACTCTGAACTTGTTGGCAACCCAACATCCGGTTGTCACACTACCCCCCCCCCCCTCCCACCTCACCTAACATGCTCTTTGCCTCACCCGATAAGCCATCCCCTCCTCCACCACCTCCCCTACCTCCCTCCCTCACTCACATTCCTGCTACAGCTAATCAGGTGACTTAAAGAATGTCTGTCAGTCCGTACACCAATTTTTGTTTATGCTCGTTACCATGGCTACAGACAACAAACTAAAGCAAAGACTTCTCTGGTCCAGGTCCTACCATAACAGGTCAGGTCATGAAACGAGGTCATGAATCAAGGTCACACCCAGCTGACTTTAGAATTATTTTTTATTTTGTTCAAGACCCCCCCCCCCTCACGGTTAGAGTAAGCTGATCGTCACCTCACTTTGACTTGTCGCTCACATAAATAATTCAAGTGCTGTGTTCGGTCACATTGACGGCCAACACTTGAGATTTCAAGCTGGAGTTTTTTTTTTGTGGTTTTGGTATGGCTGCTGTTTCTTCTTGCAAGACCCATCTGTCCAACTACACTGGTTTAGTATACACCACATCACCATATATTACCATTTTTATTGCGCAGTTAGACGGCATGCATGTTTTGTAACAGTGAAGCAACCCCCCTCCCCCTTCCAGACAGATTTAGCTCTTAACCTTTTTAAAAAAAATCGAACTTGCTTTGATATTTAAATAAAAAGTTCAAATTTTTTGTTACGATGACAATGTGAACAAATAAAATGTTAAAATTTTTTTTTTGTCAGCTGTCGGATCTAACGTGACGAGATGGATTCAGAACAGTAATTGGCTTAATTAGTAGTGTCATCAGCTGTTTCTTTCACATTTTCTTCGGGGGGTGGGTGGGGGCACTGGAAACTTTCAGGGTAGGGGTCGACAACAGCTACACTAAAGTATATATTTATATATATAAATTCTATTTGGTTTGTGGGATGCGAGTTCCCCCCCCCCCCCCCCCCCCCCCCCACCCCCGCAGAGATGCTTGAACGAAATTCTGGTTATAAATCACGTCATTTTTCTTTTCTGTTACAATTTGATTTTATGAAAACTGGACCCCTTTCTGAATGTAACCTCAGTCCACCCCCCTAATATGTGCTCCTCTATCACGCCAACATAGATCTAGAACAAAAGAGCCTCCATTCCATCGTAACATTGATGGTCCAGCCAATAGGAGCATGGCTTACAAATGACGCCAGTAAATTATTCATGGAGTGGCTGCCACGCTTGTCCGCTGGTGTAAAGAAAGGTTGCCGATGTTTTCTCCCCAACATCATCTCTGTCATCCGCCCTTTTTTTTTAGGCAAACTTCTTCGCTGAAAGCTTGTCCATAACTCTACATTGGTTTCTTTCAGACATTTTTCTCGAAAAGGATGGGGGGGGGGGGGGGGTGCAGAAACTGGTAAAATGATATATTTATAAATTAAATATTTTTTCCTTTTTTTTTGTGTGTGGGGGGGGGGGGGCAATGCCCCCTCCCCCCAGCGCCCGTAGAGATGCCTAAAAGGAAGAGTGATCTCTACTGAAAGCTGTTTCCAATTTCCATTCTGAGATGAATTTGTGTGTGTATCTCGACGGGACATGGTTTCTAAATGTTTTGGGACTCCCGTTCTGTATGGTAATCAAGTCTCTGTTGGCTGGCTCTGTGGGAAGTGGTTTTTAGTCGCCGGCCTTTCTAACTAGAGATTTACTGTTTGATGGGTGGGGGTCTTGGGGGGTGTGGGGGGGGGGGTCTTTGGGTGGGGAGGGTGTGGCGCCTAATGTTTGATGTGGGGGTCTTGGGATGGGGAGGTTGTGGCGCCAAAGGTTTGATGTGGGGGTCTTGGGGTGGGGAGGGTGTGGCGCCTAATGTTTGATGTGGGGGTCTTTGGGGGGTGGTCTTTGGGTGGGGAGGGTGTGGCGCCTAATGTTTGATGTGGGGGTCTTGGGGTGGGGAGGGTGTGGCGCCTAATGTTTGATGTGGGTGTCTTGGGGGGGGGTGCCAATGTTTGGGGGGGGGGGGAGATGAGTGCCGCTTAATGTTGGTCAGATTTCGGGTATTCGGATGGGTTGGGTATCAGTTTAACGTTACCGTTGCTGATATAAGCGACACCGTGGAGCGGCATGGCCAAGTGCTAGAGCGCAGTTGTCAACACGTTAGTCAGCGTGGAAAACACGAACGTTTCTTGGAACAACTACGTTTGGGGCGCTTTGTGTGACGGCCACCTTTACTTACCTGCTATCGATTTTACCATAGTGAGACTAACATCAACACATGCCTTTGTTAGCGCGATCTCTCATACTGTTGGGTACGGGTTGAGTGTGGCCTTATGCCAACATTGCCTAATCCTACTGGCACTCAAGAAAACAGTCCTTCACCTGCTATATAGTCCCCCTCCCACCCGTTAAACAGCCCCCCTCCCCCCCGTGTCCCTCCACCCGCTAGTCTTCCTACCCGTAGTCCCCTCCTCCCTTCCCACCTGTTGTAGAGTCCGCTCCCCCCCGTCCCCCCCACCCGCCCTTGTGCTAAAATGAACGTGTCTTTCCAGATTTTCTGCCGATCGATACTTGATTGATATCTGTAAACCACGTGACACTATCGATTGGTTATTTTCAATCTGCAGCTAATTTGGTCGTGAAGTAATTCGGTTAAGATTTCAGGTGTAACGGCCCTACACGTATAATCAAGTTTTACTGGTGTAACGGTCCCTACACACATAGTCAGGTTCCAACAAGTTAGACCGTAATCAGGTTTTTAAATACCAGCAGCATCGGTTTTGTTTGGTGACGTCTTGAGGTAGCCAAATGTCTTTTTTTTGGGGGACAAGCTCTAGGCGCCCTCCTCCGGTACAGCCATCCCAACTCGATTATATGAAACTATTTAAAATGTCAGAGAGACACCCCCCCCCCCCCACCCACTGTCAAGGCTGTAGGAGAACTGAACAGCTTTAAGCTGGTAGAGCACACATCGCGGTATGTATGTATGACACCTTATACTTACAGCTCAGTCGCAGTACTATCCCCCCTCCCCACCCAGCACTTTAAGATAACCCCAATATATCAATGGCCGTACTTTTGTAATGTAAATACAATTCCATTGATGTGTTTATACTCGCGCACGATAATTGTTAGCGTATCACAGCCCCCACGCTTATTTTTTTAATCTATTATTCTTTGACCCGTTTTTGTGTTTATTTTTTGTTGATTTATCGGAGGCTTTTTGTTTATCAATGATCATTTAATGAAACAGTCGAGCTGTATGTTACATAACGAGATTAGAAAGTTTTAAGTTTTTTGGTTATTAGAGCAACCGCACATCTCTCAGCAGACGGCTCGGTGTGTCCCGATTCAGTTATCGAAGGGAAATTAAAATTTGCCGGCGAGCAGGGCTAGAGAAATGAGATGATGTAACTAGATCTAGTGGCCACTTGAACCTCCCCTGTAAGACCGTTGGTGCAGTTTTTGGTATTGATTTTCTGTTAGTCGTGTCATGAAGCCCTCCGGTTGTACAGGTCTGTCTTGTTTTTATCCCCGTGTCCAGTTAGTACCTTCACACACAGCTGTTGATATTAGCACTACAATACCTGATGTGCTGTCGTGTGTGCTACAATTCAATGCTTTGTTGGATTATGTTAATTCATTTCAAGGATGCAAATTGTGCCAGTACTTGATTAATTAATTCATAATTATATCAAATTTCTGTTTTAAATAGTAGATTTAGTCAGACCCTTTTAGCTGAGTTAGTGTAGATTTAAAATATTATCAGCTGCACTATGTATTTTTGTGTGTGTGTGTAAAAGACAATCTATTTTAAACTTTCTAAGAAGTTTAATCAACATTATGATTTAATGCTAACACTGTCTATTTCCAGGCTAAAAAACGCACATGCCTTCTGCCCCTGCCCCCAGCTGACAGCCTACTGGACCCCACCCCCGTCCTGGCCTCGTCGAATCTGCTGCTGTGAAACCTTATCAAAGATGTCTTTTCTAGGGCTGAGTGTGTTCCGGGACGCCAAGACGACCTGCATCTTTGTGGGGCTCATCCTGATCACCTACTACTTCATCATGGACATCATCCTCTTCATGAGGTTCAGGAACGTCGACATTGTAGCCGACTCCAAGCCCGGGGCGCCAGACGAACTCTACTCCCCCTTCACACACTTGTCTGTCAAGGCTTTGATGAATGACCACACCAGCCAGTACATCATCAGCCCCAGCGCCGAGTACTTCGACACCCTGACGCAGTTCTCAACCCGCTTCAGCTTCATCACCCCCAACATCATCTCCTTCACCCACCTCTTCCTGGGGCTCCTGTCTGGGAAGTTTGTGGCCTCAGAGAACCTGCATGACCGCAGGGTGGGCGTGGTCATCTTCCAGATCAGGTCCTGGCTGGACGCCTTTGATGGCGTGGTCTTCCGTTCTCAGTCCGGCACCCACCTACAGTTCCAGTCAGTGCGTGCCACTACAGGATATTACGTGGACACTACGTGCGACGCACTAGGGGGTGTGTTCCTGTGTTTTGGGATTTTATTCTACTTATGGAAGCGGTTTGACCCCGTCAAGCAGGACCTGCCGACCTGGAGTAAAGCGCAGGAGGCAGCGTCCAAGACTGGGCTAGTGTCCAACGGCCATAGCGTGGCCCCCAGGGAAACGTACAGTATAAAGTACCTGTTCTGGAAAGTGTTCTGTTACGGCCTGTGTCTGGCCTGTGCTGGCAAGTTCTGGGACTTGGTTGTGGGGGATTTCAAGGAGATCTTCCAGACACCATTGAAGGATCCTAAAATGTCTGTAAGTTTAAAGGGAATGCTGGAAATTTAAAAAAACAATTTGAGCCCTTTTAACTTTAAATAGTTGTTTTAAATTTTTTTAAATGAAAGAGCTTTCAGCTCAGTTTAAAAGCTATTGCAGATAATTGATAATCACCATCTTTTCCCGTTTGTGCCCAAGACACATGGGCAGATGAAGTAGAGTTCATCTGTTTCAATGACCGCTGCATACAAAGGGATAATGGGGTCATCACTATGCCCAGCCATCTGTTTCCCTTCCATGAGTTAGGTAGCCATCGGAGCTGTATGGACTCAAGGACGTTCTAATGATTTTGAACCTGGATTTTTCAACTTGAGACTATCGATAGCTAAGCCATGCCTATTATTAATTAATAATACACTTAACACTCATCAAACATTCAATTGAATACATTAATTTTAATTTCTTAAATGTCTTCCATGAGTGTAGTACTTGTACACATTTAAACTGTTAATCAACAATTTTATATCTTAAACAAAGTAAGTTATTAATAAATTAATGAATTACAAAGGAATGTATTCTATTAGAAATGTTGGTCAGTATTTGTAGACTCGTACTATATTACTGAGCAAAAACAGTTTTGGCATGAAAATTCGACCTGTGCGATATTACTTAACAGACACATCAGACACATTTAGTTGATGTATTGGTGAGCTAATCAACATACACACAATAATCAAATTTTATTGATGTATTGGAGAGCTAATCAACATACACACAATAATCAAATTTTGTTGATGTATTGGTGAGCTAATCAACATACACACAATAACACTTGCTTTCAATTTCAGATGTTGCAATTTGAACTTTGTCACTCAACAACTACAGTTGTGCTGTTTTATTTATGGAGGATTCTAGAAGGACAAGCGCTGCTACAGTATATACTCATTCCCATCATTATAGATAAGATATGGGTACGTCTTTGAACTTTTTTTTCTTCATTTGTGAAGAATCAGCTGATAAACTTGTGGCCTTGTTTATTTTCTCATTGTAGTTATAAGTACACTAGTGACATTTTTTAATCTAATCACGTTTTTGATTATAAAACACTGTGCTATATTTGAATACTTTAATGGCGCAATACATTTCTAAAAACACATTTTATTTATAGTAAAAAATAATTTTTGTTCCTCTCTACTCAGACAGGTCACTAGAAGAGTATGGGAATCTGTGTTTTAAGTTAATTTCAGTTTTCTGTTGTTTTAAAGTTCATATGCTGTCTACATTTTGTAGATACTGATTACATTTTGTGAATTTTTTCTACATTTTGTGGACACTGTCTACATTTTGTGGACACTGTCTACATTTAGTGGACACTGTCTACATTTTGTCCAAAGTTTTAATTTTCTTTGGTTTTTGAATAAATTGAAAGTTACAGTATTTAAAAAATAAACTGTCAATGTACCAACTTAAAATTGTTCAAAATAAGAGACATCTTTTTGTTAAGTCATCACTTAAAAAACTATTGTGATAGATTGATTAACCCACATATTGATAACATTACAATAAAATATGTTCACACCTGCAACAAAAGGTGCATTATAATGTAGTTTAAAAAAAAAAAACACGAGTATGTTACACAAAAGTAAGAAATATTTTTATTGCTTGGTCATAATTCTTATCTATTAATAAGAGACCTGTTGCTAAAATTATGAACAAAAAAACAAGTAGCTTTATAGACCAACAAACAGTTAGAAATATCAGTGTATTATTGTATAGTCGGTTCTTTTAAAAAAAAGCTTGTTTTAATGTGTTAGTAATTAAAATTGTGTTTGTTTGTGCAGGAGTTTTTAAACTACACCCAGTATATTCTCCTGTCAGTGATAGTTGGTCTCTACATCGTCAGCTTGCTCTACATTAGACACGTGAGTAATGGCACATTCAAACATGCTGTTCTATGTTCTGCTTCTGTCACTTTCTCCTGTTGTATCACTTTCAACTGTTGTGTCACTTTCAACTGTTGTGTCACTTTCTCCTGTTGTGTCACTTTCTCCTGTTGTATCACTTTCTCCTGTTGTATCACTTTGTCCTGTTGTATCACTTTGTCCTGTTGTATCACTTTCTCCTGTTGTATCACTTTCTCCTGTTGTATCACTTTCTCCTGTTGTATCACTTTCTCCTGTTGTATCACTTTCAACTGTTGTATCACTTTCAACTGTTGTATCACTTTCAACTGTTGTATCACTTTCTCCTGTTGTATCACTTTCTGTTGTATCACTTTCTCCTGTTGTATCACTTTCTCCTGTTGTATCACTTTCTCCAATTGTATCACTTTCTCCAATTGTATCACTGTATGTAATTGTTCAGCGTGGCCCTTCCTGCACTGTTGAGCTGTGTAAAAAAAAAATCTAATGAAATTGTGTCTCCCATTTCAGCTGCGGACAGTTTTAAATCTCTGAACTGAGTTGTGCCTCAACACCACGCCTTACGGACTACCTGGTGAGTGGATATTTTTCACCTACTGCAGTGGACATTCAAATCTGGATACAGACACCATTGACGCCTAATCTGGTTACACCATCTTCCAACTCCTAGCTTGGAATGGCACTCCACCATGATAAAAACATTTTACCAGCTGCTACAGAAATTATTTCAAACATTTGTTCTAGGATTGTCTTACTCCAGTCTACAGTACAGGAAATGGAAAAAGAAAGAGTGGAAGCTTACAGATTCATAATATCATACCTTCACTGTTAAATGACTTTTTTGTTCTAGATGTTTTCCCTGAAGGGTGTGTTTGTTTTCAAAGATTTTGATGTTCCTGTAAGGAGCTTTAAACAAGATTTTCAGCTATGCTGAAGTGCTAAGTGAATGTGTTCCTATCATTGTGTGTAATGTAATCATTAAAATACCATGAGCCGTAGAGATGGAGGCCATTACTTGTAGAACATGTGTTGAAGTTGATTCCCTCCCTTATCCACTGTCATGTTTAGTTGAGTGACACCACCATCAGTTTTTTTTTATTTTTCTGGCAGGTCAAGTTTTTTTTTTCTGCTGTGTGTCTGAGTATGGTTAAACTATGGTTCAACATCTGCTGAGTCTTTAAACAATAGCTGGTCAGCTAAAAACAAAAATACTAGCTATAATTGACCTTTGACTTGATATCCCCGCCCCTATCTTTGAAATAAAAGCTGCATAATTGGTAGATAACTTAGCCAGGTGTTGTCTGGCATCATATAAATTAGCTGTAGTTTTACTGCCACTAATGTTGTCACATAAATTAGCTGTAGTTTTACTGCCACTAATGTTGTCACATAAATTAGCTGTAGTTTTACTGCCACTAATGGTGTCACATATATTAGCCGTAGTTTTACTGCCACTAATGGTGTCACATATATTAGCTGTAGTTTTACTGCCACTAATGGTGTCACATAAATTAGCTGTAGTTTTACTGCCACTAATAGTGTAAGAAGGCTTTGTCTTGTGCCAAAAGAAACATGAAACATCAGCATAATGTCCAGCTAATCTAGTTGAGTAAAGGAACTTAGTCATACCCTAGTGGTGGCTTGCTGCTTGTCTTGTGCTCAACAAAGTTGGAATCTGTTCAAAATATTTTTTTTTAAACTAAAATTTGTGCTAGTTTTATTAGGTTTTTATTTTTACCAGTGTTTCAAGGCTTCAATTTATCTCCTACAAAACTTAGACTGTTTTGTGTTCAGCAGTTCTAGCAGTCATTTTCTACTTAAGTTCAAGCTTTTTGCTGTCCTGTCTGCTGGTTACTTAGCAACAAGCTAATTATTGCGATGTTTGATGCATAATGTTTGGGGTTAAGAGTCTGATTATTTAAATCTTGTGTGTCTGATATTGAGTGTAAGTTTTGTGTGTGAAACTGAGTGCCTTACTACAAATAAAAAGAGCAACTCATGTAGAATTCAAACCTGTTAGTTGGGGGGTGTAATAATAACAGCAAAAACTAAAACTATTTTAAAAATAAATTCTAGTTCACTAAATTTAAAGGCCATTATAACAACCCCCGTTATTTTACAAATTTTTGTTTTACTTTTTCAGTATATATTATAGCTTAAAAACGTCAAATTTTGTTGAGCTTTACATCAGAACTACCTAGCGTGCTAGATTAAGTTGATCCAAAATGTTGCATAATTAAATGGCTGGTCCTTGGTTTTTTCTTACAGCTGCTTTTGTTATATATCTATCACAGCTGCTTGGGTTATATAACTATCACAGCTGCTTTTGTTATATACCTATCACAGCTGCTTGGGTTATATTCTATATCAAGTATGCAATGTGATGTATGTGTACATGTAATTTTGTATTAGGTCATACAAGTTGTATCTCTGTGTGACAAACAGCATATTTTTTAAAACATATTTTACAACCTGTAATCAACTCTTTTGTTTTTTGTAAGCAGCTACTGTAAACATGTTTTCTCTAATCCCTGATACTAACATTTTTTTCTTCAATCTTGTGAGCTGTGGTGACTTCAATCATTCCTAGGTGTAAATTGTCTTCAGCTAAGGACTCTAGCTTCAACAAGTGTGAATCCTATCTTTGGGTATTTTTGTGAATTTTACAAAAAAATTGAATGTACATGTCGTTCAAATCATTTTAACCTTAAAGTGGTTGGTTTATTTTTTTAATCAGTTTTTGGGTGCCGTAGAATTTCTTAGTGTCAATGTTTTTTTGTAACTTGACACATTTGTGTTCGTTAAGGTAAATTTTAAATTTAGATTCTTTTGTTTTCTATTAATTTTTTGTAGTCAGTAATATGTCAGTTTAGTTTTTCAATTTTTTGTATATTATGTCAGTTACATGAAAGTTTAGATTTTCTATTTTTTACAATGTACAATAGCCATGTGATAGCCATAAATAGATTTGTAGAGTTTGTGTCTAGGCCAGACTTGACCTCTGACATGTAAATAGTTTAGTTTGAGATGTTTATTTTTTCTGTTGCACTAACCAACAGCCATACAGTGAAAGTTGAGTAGCCTGTAGGTCCTATGATGAGTTGAGGTTTTCCTTGAGACACCAGTCAGTGACCCACATCACTGTTTGGGGTAGTGCTGGTCAACCCATCCAGCTCCTTGTACACCTGAGCTGCTAAATAGTTCTTTACATGAGCTTCTACTTACACCATACAAATAGACCTCTGGGGTAGGTAACTCTGCCATAGCTGGATCTAATTCTTTAAGTTACTTCCCTTTAAAATACTCAAGTGGGAATTTTTGCTGAGGTTGTCTTTCCTTATTTTGTTATAATTAGCAGTTTTACCATGTGATGCGTGAGTGTACGGGTTTTGTGTACAAATGGCGTACATTTTAATTCCTGAATCTGGTTTGTATACAAATTTAAAGCTGCATATAAATATATATACATATATATTTCATTTTGGTGTTTCAAAAATATTGCCTTATCTATATTTAAATATGATTGAATGTGTATTCCATCCAACATTGGTTGGCCTTTCATTTGTAGCTCAACATCTGTCACAGCCAGTGGCGTAGCGAGGTTGGGTGTCACCCGGTGCAGCACTTAATGGTGTCACTCCCTAGAGGTGTAGCGACAAACTTTGAATTTTTTATTTGCCCCGCATCCCCCCTCAAACTTTCGATATGCACCTCTTAAAAGACTATTTAACACTCGAATTAATCACTTAAGTGGAATTATCATTTTTCTCTATATATTTTGCAATTTTTTGCCTTGGTGTCACCCCCCTAAATGGTGTCACCCGGTGTGGTCCACATCCCCCGCCCCCCTCGCTACGCCTCTGGTCACATCTAACCATCCAACAACTGTCACAGCTAACCGCCCCATTCAACAACTGTCACAGCTAACCACCCCATCCAACAACTGTCACAGCTAACCACCCCATCCAACAACTGTCACAGCTAACCACCCCATCCAACAACTGTCACAGCTAACCACCCCATCCAACAACTGTCACAGCTAACCACCCCATCCAACAACTGTCACAGCTAACCGCCCCATCCAACAACCATCACAGCTAACCGCCCAATGCAACAACCATCACAGCTAACCACCCCGTCCAACAACTGTCACAGCTAACCGCCCCATCCAACAATTGTCACAGCTAACCGCCCCATCCAACAACTGTCACAGCTAACCGCCCCATCCAACAACTGTCACAGCTAACCGCCCCATCCAACAACTGTCACAGCTAACCGCCCCATCCAACAACTGTCACAGCTAACCGCCCCATCCAACAACTGTCACAGCTAACCGCCCCATGCAACAACCATCACAGCTAACCGCCCCATGTACTCACAGCTAACCGCCCCATCCAACAACCATCACAGCTAACCGCCCCATGCAACAACCATCACAGCTAACCGCCCCATCCAGCAACTGTCACAGCTAATATCATCATCCATCTGTCACAGCTAACCATCCAATCCAGTAACATTGCTGTATGTGTGTGACCTTGAACCATTTGACCTGTGACCTTCTGACATCTGACCTAGCAATAGTTAAGGTCACAGACTTGCTGTTCCTCATGTAATAAACCAGGTTGATCACATCTTTGTTTTGTTGTTATGTCAAAGTCAAGTACATGACTTAATTACATGACTTAATGGCAAACTGATCATACATTCAGTCAAATACATGACTTAATGGCAAACTGATCAAACATTCAGTCAAGTACATGACTTCAGTGGCAAACTGATCAAACATTCAGTCAAGTACATGACTTTAGTACATTCAGTCAAGTACATGACTTCAGTGGCAAACTGATCATACATTAAGTCAAGTACATGACTTAATTACATGACTTAATGGCAAACTGATCAAACATCCAGTCAATTACATGACTTCAGTGGCAAACTGATCAAACATTAAGTCAAGTACATGACTTAATGGCAAACTGATCAAACATTCAGTCAAGTACATGACTTAATGGCAAACTGATCAAACATTCAGTCAAGTACATGACTTAATGGCAAACTGATCATACATCCAGTCAAATACATGACAGCAACTGTAAGTACAGATTTCGACCAAAGAAGGTAGCCTATACTATAACAAAAGAAAACAATTAGTATAAGTTTCGAAACATTAACATTTTCAGGTATCTATAATGCAAGTAATTTATTTAAATGATTCATTTCATTAACAAGAAATTAATTGTCATTACCATTCAACAAATACATTTGGTTCTGTAAGTCGTTTGGTAGATTACACCACAGTGAACATAAGGTTTAAGGTTAGAGTAATACCTAGACCATCTCTGTTAAGATCTAGTTGGTGGTTTTTAAAAAAAATACATTTGACTATAATTACCTAATTAATAAAATAGGCAAATTTAAATTATTTAAAAAAAAAAACCCAAGTCAACAGTAAAGACAGACACACTACATACAATATCTACCAGTCTCTTCTATCCATTACGTGTTTGACATGGTTATAAAAAATAAGTTAACATGAATCATACATAGCTATTACTCTTATGATACCAAAGTTAGCTGCAGACGTCTTGAAATACTGCAGAAAAACTTTATTATGGGTGGTCCATAAATGATGTCCCACTCCTAGAGGGGGGGGGGTCGAACTTTTATGAGGAGGGGTAAGAAACCATTGCTTAATTTTTTTTTAAATTTAAAAAGGGAAACAGAATTTAACCAGGTATTTCAATTTTCAAAATACTGTTTATAATAAATCGATGAAAATCAATTTATCTAATACGGTTTCAGTTTGCTAAAATAAATTAGTGATTTTCGGTAAACATCATAGTTAGCTAACACCAGTTAACAATAACATCGGGTAGTAATAAATTATTAAGTTTCCCATGCAAAGGGAAAGAACCAAATTAATTTTCATAAAATTAGTGTAGCCTGGTTACATCCCCTTAAGCATGTAAAACAAAATTTAATAACGGCAGCTGAAGTTTGACTTTGCTTTAGGGAGAAGCCTGGCCTCTCTTTACATTGATGGGAGAAGGTAAAATTCGGCCAAATAGCTTGACGTCGTTTATGTACGATTCCTTGAAGTTATGAACCCACGACCCGAAAAATATATTTGAAAAACCATAATGGAAGATCATATAGGGGACATAAGTCCGTCATATTGAGACATCGTCGCAAACTGCTCCCACAATAAATATATTAAAAAAAAAAACAGCAATAATTTTAAAAACATACATTTTCATAATTAATAGCTTTTTTAATAATATAATTATAATGCTTTGGGATTGGTTGTTGTTTTTTTTTAAAGATTAATGCATGTGGAGACATAGTAAAAAGATCAACGGTCGACTCAGTTAAATCTACAATGGGTACTTATCCATGGCATTATACCTCTTCTTTCTGCAGTACAATCTTATCCCTAAAAGACATTGGTCTAAAATAGACACCTTTTAATTTTCTATCACTGGTCTTAAATTGACTAATGTTTTAATTTTCTTTTATTAATCTAAAAAAAAACAACATTTAAATTTTTCATTTTCTTTCATTGGTCTCAAATCAGAGGCGTAACGACCCTTCCTGGCGCCCGGGGACAAACTTTCAATTTGGCGCCCCCCTCGAGAGCAAATTTTCGATTTGCACCCACCCCCTTAAACTTTCGATTTGCACCCCCCCCCCTCCTCAAACTATTTATAATGCAAAAATGCAGCAAAAATGACATTTTAATTTGTTTTTACAACCCATTTTAGCGCCCCCTAAGGTACCCCCCTGCGCCCCCCCCCCCATCGCTACGCCTCTGTCTCAAATAGACATATTTTAATATATTTTCCGTTCGCGACACAAAGAAAAGCTTAACCTCGAGACCTAATGACGAGGCCATGGGTGTAGGCGTGCCATCAAGTTGTGTATAGAATAAACGGTCTTTCACATTCTTAATCGTCAAATACATCACATAAATATATCACATAAACCTGGGTTGAGATTTTGATTAGGGAGAGGTTTGTGATTGTGTGTAGCATAAAAGTTCAGATTTATGATTGTGTGTAGCATTAGAATTAAAGTTCGTTTTATTTAACATCGATACTAACAAGGTGATGATTGTATGGCTAGTTAAAAAGTACCGCAATATGCAAATACAGCTATAGGTAATACATTTTGTACAATAGACATCAATACTTAAAGAATGATAAAAAGAATGGGGTGATAATTGGTACATGACTTGTTTTGTTAAAAAACGTTAGGCACACAATTTGTTTTGTTGTTGTAGCTTGACCTACAAGTCAAGTTTGAAAAAAATCGGCTCGGTAGAAGTGGGTCAAATTTTGCTCGTACGATTCCACCCGTTGCGACTAATAGAAATAAAGTTTTAACCAAAGCTTGCAACAATATAGCATTGGCATAGTGTGGAGTAGCAATAAATACTGAGACTAGTTAACCAAAGTTAACATTGGGACTAGTTAACCAAAGTTAACATTGGGACTAGTTAACCAAAGTTAACATTGGGACTAGTTAACCAAAGTTAACATTGGGACTAGTTAACCAAAGTTAACATTGGGACTAGTTAACCAAAGTTAACAGTTGGGCTAGTTAACCAAAGTTAACATTGAGACTAGTTAACCAAAGTTAACATTGGGACTAGTTAACCAAAGTTAACATTGAGACTAGTTAACCAAAGTTAACATTGATCAAATAAAACAATGTACACCGTGATCTGAATGTCAGATTAATAAATTCATGCACTAAAATATGCATCACAACCAATAGAAAGTCAATATTACTGTAAACTCATCACATGAAAACAATATAAAACATAACGTTAGTCTATATGTCATATATCACATAGCAAATAGAATCACAATTCACTTAATGATCAGAAACATTAAACAGCGAATAGGCCTATATCAGTAACAATAGTAACATCACAAGGCGGGGTGCGTACGGCACCCGTGACACCCGACCTAGGGACGCCACTAAATAGAATCAAATAATTGGTGGAGCAAACATTCACTGGGTAGCCGTTGCTCTCCAAGATGACGAGGTTTAAATGCCAGCGTTCAAAATGTCATGATGTTCTAAATGTCATCTGGTCACTGACACTCCAATGTCATGTCGATGGTGTCCATGGATCATAAATGAAGCTGGACGCGGATCTGCATAAATTATTAAATAAATTATGTCAGTCTTCATCAAAATGAGCTACCCAAATGCTGTTAAATGGGGCATATTATATATATATATATATATATATATATATATATCAGCAAAATGATACATCTGTGGATTCAAGTTTATTCGGGCATGGCTTTAAACAAAGGCCGATTCTGCGGTCTTTGATCTCACAATGCTTCTTCAGATTTCGAACAAAAACCTAATTTTTTTGCTGCTTCAGATTTCGAACAAAAACCTAATTTATTTGCTGCTTCAGATTTCGAACAAAAACCTAATTTATTTGCTGCTTCAGATTTCGAACAAAAACCTAATTTATTTGCTGCTTCAGATTTCGAACAAAAACCTAATTTATTGGCTGCTTCAGATTTCGAACAAAAACCTAGTTTATTGGCTGCTTCAGATTTCGAACAAAAACCTAATTTATTTGCTGCTTCAGATTTCGAACAAAAACCTAATTTATTTGCTGCTTCAGATTTCGAACAAAAACCTAATTTATTTGCTGCTTCAGATTTCGAACAAAAACCTACTTTATTGGCTGCTTCAGATTTCGAACAAAAACCTAATTTATTTGCAGCTTCAGATTTCGAACAAAACCTAGTTTATTTTCTGCCTTAGATTTTGAACAAAAACCTAGTTTATTTGTTGCTTCAGACTTCGAACAAAGCCTAGTTTATTAACTGCTTCAGACTTCGAACAAAGCCTAGTTTATTAACTGCTTCAGACTTCGAACAAAAACCTAGTTTACTTGCTGCTTAGACTTCGAACAAAATATAGTTTAATGTTTCCCGTGTACTCACGTGACTTATGTACAGGACTGTGATGACGTAGAGGGGAAGGGTCAAGGCTAGCAGGATCCACTGGCTGTAGCGCAGAAAATCCTAAAACAGGAAGTAGAAAGGTCAATGATGGTCAATGTTAGGTCAATGAGATTCACATAAAACGACATTCCCCCAGAGGCGTAGCGACCCTTCCCGGCGCCCGGGGACAAACTTTTGATTTGCACCACCCCCTCTCAAACTTTCAATTTGTTTTTCCAACCCATTTTGGCGCCCCCCCCCCATTAGGTCGGCGCCCGGAAACATATGCCCCCCCCCCCTCGCTACGCCACTGCATTCCCCACACACTACGAGTTTTTACACTGTCAATATAATCAGACAGTGCACCACATACGACATACCCCACGAAGCACCTACAGAGTTTCTTCCAGGCATCTCTTCGGGGGGGCGAAGCCCCCCCGAAAATTTTTTACCGCCCCCCCGAACGAAATGAAATTTATATAATTTATATAGAAAATATATACTTTTAACAGTGTCCGCCCCCCCGAAGAAAGTTTACCGCCCCCCCCCCCGAAGATTTCAAGTGCCCCCCCCGGAGAAAAAAGTCTGGAAGAAACACTGAGCACCTACCATAACTTTATCCATATACAGGGCTATCTGCATGTAGGTCTGCACCGTTTGGCCGCTGATAAACCTCCAGAAGCAGAAGATGACCATGGTCGCCATGTTGTGGCTCAATTTGAACTGGAGAGCCTGCGCAACAATAACAAGATTTTCATTGGGTGTTTCACGTGAGGTGCTGGCAGGGATGTATTGGGGGCGTGGTTAAGGGTGTTATGTAAGGCGCCTTCCAGGATTTCGTGTGAGGTGTATTTAGGAATTTTGTGAGAGGTGTCTTTACAACACGGGTTTCCAAATTAGGAGGCCAGCCTTTCTGGGGAGGCGCGGGGTGGTAGTGGAGGCGCGAAAAGTTAAACAAATGTACAAAAAAAAAACACAGCAGATAGATCTATTACATGTATTACAGTTGTAAGCCGTACAATATTTGTTCTTTCTGGGTTTTCGTTATTGAGCGTGACTATTTTCCCCGACAATCGTGAAGACATCCGTGAACACAACTCAGCCCCCCACACCTCACCCCCCCCACCTCCACACACACCTCAGCCCCCCCCCCCCCCCACCACACACACACACACATCAGTCTTAACAACTCAATCACAACTCATTCACTGTCGCTAATGATTTCTTTTCCCGTTATTTTGTATTTGTATTAATTTTAATGACTGATATAAAAACCCATCGGAAATGAATTAGCTGGATTGGAAGTAGATCAAACTTGAGTTACAAGATTTCACGTCAAACCCACTCATAGACAATTTCAAGTAAGTAAAAGCTTGTATAGAACTAAAACAGTTGATGTCATTCTACATTGAACATTACATGTAATAGTTACTTCCCTTCTTGATATCTAAATAACAAAGGGGTATTAATTATTTCTAAACTTCTCAATGGTTTAAAACTACATAGAAATTTAAACATTTAAAAAATGAAAGAAAATTTATATTTAGTTATTATACAAAATTTACTATTTTAATTTCAGTTGTTACTTTTTTAGATCTTAAGTACCACAAATACTATTTGACTCTAGTTTAAAAAAAACTAAAACGACAAATAAGATAAAATACTTATTTTTATACAATATTGACGATTCGGTCATAGTACTGTTCCCCGACGTTTGATATCCTTATGTTATTATCCCAGTTTTGTTGTATATTGATTCATATTTTGTCATTGCTGAAATTGATTCAGTCTAGCATCAGATCCTATGTAAATTGTGGTTATTTGTTGTATTTAACCCCATATAATTGTTTCTCCTTTGGTTTTTTTTTTTTTGTAGGCTACATATCAAACTTAGCTCCATCGTATATTTGCCATTATGTAAATAATTAATACCTTATCACTTGTATGTAAATTTTGTTACAGTAAAATTCCTGATTGTGATTGCTTCTACAGACTAAGACATTCACAAACATGTTGTAATTTGTTTTATTGAAAAAAAAAGTATTTAAAAATATGTTTTTTAATTAATAACCAACAATAATACTTCACTATTTGCCATTTCTAATGTATTTGACATTGTGAAACGCATTTCTTTTCCTTGTTTGTAAATATTTAAACCATGTTGAAGTTAACATTTTAAAATGGAAAATAAAATTATTTAAAAAAAAATCTTTTGAATAATTTACCAGCAGTGCCATTTGGATGTAACTAAAAAAAACATTCCTTGATTTTAAATGATTCATGATATCCAAAGGACGAAACTATACAGATGTATAGCCAGGGGCGGAACTACAGTGCCGCCAGACCCCGCAATGCGGTGGGGCCCACGCCATTTAGGGGCCCTTAGCCGACCACAATATTTTTTTTTATTATTAACAAAATACTTATTATCTTGCATTTTTGACCTGATGGTTGTTTTGTAAAAAGATTCCTGTTGCCGCGGTTGGATTATCTTTCTTTTATAGACACCACCCACGCTCTTGTATATTCTTTTTCCCTTTGTTTTTAAAGCCGAGTCCTCTTTCTCCTACAATCAAACTTATCAAAGTTAAGCAAACGTTCAAACCACTTCCATGACATAACTCCCTTTTTTAAATAGTCAAATAGGGGTGCTCATAAGCTCCTTTTAATAGATTTGTTCAAAACAAAATAAAAAGCAATTACTTCTCTTAATTATTATTTTATAATAAATTACTTACTAAAGAATGACATTGTATATAAAGGAATGTATTTAAAATTAATAATATAAATACAAAAAAAAACATAAAATAAACATAACACGAGACACCATTACTTATACAAAGCTTTCATGTTTTATATTCTCTTGACCACCCAGATGTTATGAGGTCTTGTAGCCGAGATAAAAAGTAAAAAAAAAAAAATTCAAAATTAGCAAAAAAAAAAAAAAAACCAGACTTATGCACTTACTCATATGACATGATGTAATTTGTTTTAATTGAAAAAAAAATATTTATTTTTCAAAATCCTAACAGGCAAGCAATCAATGAGTATCCCATGTTCGTATTTTGTGTTTGTTGGCCCCCCTTCTATATATATATATATATATATATATATATATATATATATATATATATATATATATATATATATATATATATATATATATATATAAAGCAAAGTGGTCAAGTGCCCGATAGGGCACTTCCCGGCGCCGCAGGCGCGTCAAATTTGGCACGATGGTGCCTTCGGGCAATAGAACACGAAGGCCGGTGACGGTTGGCCGAAAAGTCTACGGAGAAGGGGTCAAAACTGACCTCGACTGACCGGCGCCTTATATGGGCTATATTACGAAAAAAAAATTCCTCCGACGACCCCCCTTGAAATTTTGTGAGGTGGTAGGAGAACACCTTGGGGTGTCACAAAAAACTCGCCATGTCCGGGAAAAATCGGGAAATGGGTCAAAACTGACCAGTCGTATTTCCCTATATAATCTTTGTATTTTATGGGAAAAACAGAGGGTCATTTCAAAACGGATTTTAGGGCACTTACCCTGTTTACATCTGGCTAATTTTTGACATGTTTATAGGTAAATGGCTTGACCGTAGGGCTGACCTGTCGGTCTTACTCAAAGCCCTCGACGAGGGCTAAAAAGTGACCGCGAGTGAAATTCTCTTTATATGAGCTCTATTACGAAAAAAAATTTCCTCCGACGACCCCCCTTGATATTTTGTGAGGTGGTAGGAGAACGCCTTGGGGTGTCACAAAAAACTCGCCATGTCCGGGAAAAATCGGGAAATGGGTCAAAACTGACCAGTCGTATTTCCCTATATAATCTTTGTATTTTATGGGGAAAACAGAGGGTCATTTCAAAACGGATTTTAAGGCACTTACCCTATTTACATCTGGCTAAGTTTTGGCATGCTTATAGGTAAATGGCTTGGCCGTAGGGCGGACCTGTCGGTTTGACTCAAAGCACTCGACGAGGGCTAAAAAGTGACCGCGAGTGAAATTCTCTTTATATGAGCTCTATTACGAAAAAAAATTTCCTCCGACGACCCCCCTTGAAATTTTGTGAGGTGGTAGGAGAACACCTTGGGGTGTCACAAAAAACTCGGCATATCTGGGAAAACTTCGTAAAGGGGTCAAAACTGACCAGTTGTATTTCCCTATATAATCTTTGTATTTTATGGGAAAAACAGAGGGTCATTTCAAAACGGATTTTAGGGCACTTACCCTCTTTACATCTGGCTAATTTTTGGCATGTTTATAGGAAAATGGCTTGACCGTAGGGCAGACCTGTCGGTCTCACTCAAAGCCCTCGACGAGGGCTAAAAAGTGACCGCGAGTGAAATTCTCTTTATATGAGCTCTATTACGAAAAAAAATTTCCTCCGACGACCCCCCTTGATATTTTGTGAGGTGGTAGGAGAACGCCTTAGGGTGTCACAAAAAACTCGGCATATCTGGGAAAACTTCGTAAAGGGGTCAAAACTGACCAGTTGTATTTCCCTATATAATCTTTGTATTTTATGGGAAAAACAGAGGGTCATTTCAACGCAGACTTTAGGGTACTAAAGCTCAGTATATCTGGCTAATTTTTTGCATGCTCCTAGGTCAATGGCTTGACCTTTAGGGAAAACTGTCGGTTACACTCAAAGCCCTCGAAGAGGGCTAAAAAGTGACCGCGAGTGAAATTCTCTTTATATGAGCTCTATTACGAAAAAAATTTTCCTCCGACGACCCCCCTTGATATTTTGTGAGGTGGTAGAAGAACACCTAGGAGTGTCACAAAAAACTCGGCATATCTGGGAAAACTTCGTAAAGCGGTCAAAACTGACCAGTTGTATTTCCCTATATAATCTTTGTATTTTATGGGAAAAACAGAGGGTCATTTCAACGCAGACTTTAGGGTACTTAAGCTCAGTATATCTGGCTAATTTTTTGCATGCTCCTAGGTCAATGGCTTGACCTTTAGGGAAAACTGTCGGTTACACTCAAAGCCCTCGACGAGGGCTAAAAAGTGACCGCGAGTGAAATTCTCTTTATATGAGCTCTATTACGAAAAAAAATTTCCTCCGACGACCCCCCTTGAAATTTTGTGAGGTGGTAGGAGAACACCTTGGGGTGTCACAAAAAACTCGGCATATCTGGGAAAACTTCGTAAAGGGGTCAAAACTGACCAGTTGTATTTCCCTATATAATCTTTGTATTTTATGGGAAAAACAGAGGGTCATTTCAACGCAGACTTTAGGGTACTTAAGCTCAGTATATCTGGCTAATTTTTTGCATGCTCCTAGGTCAATGGCTTGACCTTTAGGGAAAACTGTCGGTTACACTCAAAGCCCTCGACGAGGGCTAAAAAGTGACCGCGAGTGAAATTCTCTTTATATGAGCTCTATTACGAAAAAAAATTTCCTCCGACGACCCCCCTTGAAATTTTGTGAGGTGGTAGGAGAACACCTTGGGGTGTCACAAAAAACTCGGCATATCTGGGAAAACTTCGTAAAGGGGTCAAAACTGACCAGTTGTATTTCCCTATATAATCTTTGTATTTTATGGGAAAAACAGAGGGTCATTTCAAAACGGATTTTAGGGCACTTACCCTCTTTACATCTGGCTAATTTTTGGCATGTTTATAGGAAAATGGCTTGACCGTAGGGCAGACCTGTCGGTCTCACTCAAAGCCCTCGACGAGGGCTAAAAAGTGACCGCGAGTGAAATTCTCTTTATATG